TTTTTTCTTCGATTGCTTTTCACGCAGACCGCAAAACATTCGCCCAGTTATCATATAGGTATCTAAGCCAAGAGATATGTTTGAATTAACTTACGATATACAAGCCAACTTCTACGTAATAGCTCGATAAGACGCCGTAGAAATATCATTGGTATTTCGCGTGGTACAGATTATGAATTGCTCGGAAGCATCTTGCGAACCGAGCTTGATTTGATGTAACACACATGGAGAGTTGCGAACCGGATTGGCTATTTTTACGGCGTGCATACCAAGCCACATTGATGGGTTACAATGTTTGGAGTAGTATTCTGCTGCCTGGAGGACCTGCATGAGCAATAGCTTAGTATATGATGTCAGATTGAGGTACTGTAGCGATGGAAAAAATAAAAAAAGTTGGATAGCAAATCCATTACAGAAAAACCAATCAATTACCTATCTTGAAAACGAACACAGACTTAACTTGTACGCGCAAACAATTGAATTCAACGTGGTAAGGCTGTACACGTGTTTTAAGATGGAACGAAAACGGCTATGAATAAATGGAAACTCAATGATGAGGAACAGAATCCCGGTTGATGGGATTGGGGAACCATCCAATGGCAATCTATTTCATGCTTAGGAGGTGTCGCGTGTGCCCATTTGTTCTCCTTTCACTTGCCGTCTGATTGAACAAATTACTTACTTGCAGTAGCGTAGCTCGACATGATACTGCTGCACGCTAATGCGGCTTCGGTAATTATGTACTAGCTTGGATTGGGAAAACGTATTGGTACGAGACAACACCCCCTGTCCTCTGCTATCGTCATGTACGCGTAAGCACGTGTCCATGTATCGGTACGCAAGCAGCAGTTAAAATAGGGGGTTTTTCCTGGGGGCCTGTTGGAACGTGAGAGGCTGAAGCAGAGGAAACCAGCGACTATCAATGACATATTCAGCAACTGCGCCAAGCGGGTCACTTGAGCGATCCACGCCTCTCAGCTCCTTTCTCCTAAAACTCATTAGCTTGTAGCCCTAAAAAAAAAAAAAACATGCCGGTGTGCTTGTTGTTCTCCATCTCACTCTCACCCTTACTACTCTTCACCTTATCATATTTTTATTCTTCGGGTTGGATCATGGCGACATGGCGAGCCGCATAAGAGTCCCTCCGAAACGCTCGGTCCCATTCATCGTCGCTGTCGCCCTTTTGCTTTTTATCCTTTACCATTCCTTTGAGCCTCGGGAGCGCGCCTGGTCGTGCAAGACCCTTTCCGGCTGCATAAAAGGTACCAAGCCGCCGACCTACAACCATTGGGATGACGTGCCGGCCGATATAGCCTTCAATAAAAATGAGAAAACCCTAAATGATGGTACCGTGCATTACCAGCAGCGCATCGTCAACACCAATCCGGATGTGTTGTTCCTCATCCTGACTCGGGATGAGCACTCATGGAGCCGCGACTTCCGGTCTACACGGCGCACCGTGTACGACTTCATTGACATGATCGTCTCCACTGATTTGGACCTGACACGAGTCTCCATCAGCTTCATGACATCGTCACGTGACGAATTTAAGACCATGAAGGAGGCTCTCAAGTCACTACCCTTCGCACGCGTAGCATTATACTACCGCGAAGACGATGGACCAGCCTCCAAGATCCCTTACGAGGATCGACACAAGGACGAGTATCAGCGTACGCGACGTGGGGCCCTCGCCAGCGCCCGCAACTACCTGATGCTGCGTGCCTTGCAGGACGAGAAGCACGTGATCTGGGTCGACGCCGACATCGTCGAGTTTTCGCGAGGCGTAGTGCAGAAAATGATCGAACATTCGGAGAAGCGCGCAGATGCAACTGTCATCACGGCGCTCAGCACACTGACCATCGCACCCCTATACGACAAGAACGCCTGGTTGCTGAACAAAGAGATCCCCTTACTTATGGGACCCGTCGGAGACAAGGATCTCACAGCCGCCGCGGATAAGCTTGTTGATACCAGGACGTATATGGATGAGATGTTGAAGGGGTCAAAAGATGAAGACCTCTTGCCGATAGACAGCGTAGGAGGAACGATTTTATATATGAGGGCGGACCTTATTCGACAGGGTATCAACTTCCCCACGTCTAATGTCGTCGGCACTACCTGGACTCACGAAGGCTGGGTCGGTATCGAGTCCGAGGGAATATGCTACACGGTGACGCATCTCGAGGGTGGCGGCGGATGTTTCCTGCTCGGCGGAAGTCACCATGTTCGACACGCCGACATAAGCTAGGATCGTCGCATTGCATGGTTTTGTTATTCAGTCGTCGCATTGGAAACGGTCTTTTCTCAGTTCATGCGATACCCCAAGTTTTCGAAGGTCCGAGAGGCCGCGAACCGCCTCCTACTTATAGTACGTTGAAACTCTACGGCATAGAGTTTTCTTGGCCCGGCTGCATGGTTTGCTTCCGCATTCTTACATACGTGTATACTATAACCTCCCGCATGTCACAGGGTTGGGTCGGGGTTAGGCATATAGACTTTCGGCAGCATATCTATATTAAATACTTTATGTTAACGTTCAACGTTCAGCCGAGCAAGCGGAGGAAGGGTCGTGCGACGCGCAGATGGCTTCGATGTCAAATAAAGCTTACTAGCATAGTTTCCGAATGGTGGAATCCTTCAATACCAGCATCGATAATATACCAATAGGTACGGTAATAATATAACACATCCTAACATGAATATCGTTAACCTGTCTCCTGAACCTCGTCTCTATCATATCCGCTACTTGCAACATCCATATTCTTCCCCGCAAACCCTAAGAGTCAGCGGGCATGAGTATAGCCGATTCCCTCGGTATGGGTTCCATGCATGCCTACATGAGAGAAACCTTCTTGATGCAGGGCATGGGGCTTTCAGAATAACTTCCAGCATCCGATAGTCCCGCATGGCGTTCCTGAGCTAAGCACTCTGGCGGTAACTAGCCGGACTCCACCCATCTGAGAAGGGCATTCTTACTATATAAAACTCCTAATTACTGCTACGACCGAATTTCTCGAGTAGAAACGAAATAGGTAATAGTGAAATGATGAGAAGGCGTATTAAACTGATAACTATTGCACATGTGAAGAATCCAAGCGCATGTTACCTGCCTGCAGCACCATATATTAAATACCACCTAGGTAAGCAGCATAAAAGGCTTTGACTTGTGGATATAGTATAGACGGCCCTAGCTTAAACTAGGTCATGCACCAACCCGTCCCGAGAGCAAAGGCAAACAAGCTCAAAATGAGAAAATAAAATTGCAAAAAGAAAATGTTAGCTCCACTCCGTTTCGATCAGAGGTCCTCCGGGTTATGAGCCCGGCGCGCTTCCACTGCGCCATGAAGCTCAACTGTGAGATAGGGCGTGGTGACTCCTAGATGAAAAAAACAAGACAGTTTATACTTATATGTCTTTCACCACCCACATCATGACCATGTCCTCACACCATGGCCACGTCCATAGAGGGCCGACAAAGGGATTTCAAAGCCTATATGGCTGTTTCCATAACTTTGGGTTAAAATTGATAGCTCTTATTATATTCGTTGTGACTTCCCGCGACCATTCAATAAATCCTATGTCTGCTTGTCTAGGAATTATCCACGGCCTCGACAATGGCACCCTTAGGGCCTTGATCTAGGCCATTCAGCGTGCTCATGTCTTGCTCGTCAAGCTGAAACCCGTAAACGTCGGCATTTGCCTTGATCCTGTCCGGATTGTCGCTCTTCGGAAGAGGAATCCAGTTTCTTTGCAAACAATAGCGAACCAAAACTTGGTTCGGGGTAACCTGGTGTTTCTTCGCTATCCCAACTAGCGTCTCATCTTCGGCTTTGGTGTTGCGGACTAGAGGGCAATACGCCTCGACCGCGATGCCATTCTTCTCGCAGTACTCCACGATTTCCTTTTGCTGGTTCCAAGGATGCAGCTTCATCTTCTGTCAGTTACCATCATTATATAAAGGAAGGAAAGAAAGCGAGCGTACTTCGATCTGATTGACATGTGGTGGCCAAACCTCCGCAAAGCTCTTCAATTCCTCAATGTGACCGATGCCAAAATTGCTCACTCCAATGCTCTTCGCTTTTCCTTCCTCGTATAACCGCTCCAGCGCCTGCCACATGAGCTTCCTCTTCTCGGGCCCGGCGTGAGGGCTATGGATGAGAAAGAGATCCACGTATCCCTTTTTACCCTCTCGTGGGTCTAGCTTTCGCACACTCGCTACACATTTCTCATATGTTTCTTCTGCGGTACCCCCAGCACTAAGTATCTTAGTCGTGAGGAAGACGTCCTGTCGAGGGACACCAGAGCGCTGTACAGCGTGTCCGGCTTCTGCCTCATTGCCGTAGAACTGCGCTGTGTCGATGTGACGGTATCCCACTTCGAGGGCGTTTAGGCATGACTGCACACATTGCTCCGGAGGTGATTTGTATATGCCAAACCCGAGCTGAGGGATCTGGTGCGAGTTTGAGAGTGTGATCGTGTCGGTAATCTCTCCTTTAGAAGCCATTTTTAGTCAATCGAATATCTTATTTAGCACTGAGAAGGAAACAAGATATCTAAAGGTAAGCGTCGATTTGAGAATTGAAGCATGGGGATGTCTTGAGCTGCAACGAAACATTCCATATCCCGGTTGGGTAAGCGCGTGTAGGTATGTGGTGCTCCGAAGGTCAATGACCTCATGATAATTGAACCCTGACAACCCACCCTCAGATATGACGAAATAGGCTCTATATATGTAAAGTGCTAAGTCTGCAGGACCTATTTGTTAATGTCTCCCTAAGATTTATCAGGTACTAGTCTCAGTAACGGTTAGCCAGGGGGATGTGGAATTACATAAGCCACCTAGCACATGCGATCCGATCTCTTCAGGGGCAACCACCTTAAAGATAAAGCAACCTGCTCCTACCCGATATCTCACATATCGTTCTTTCCACGTAGGCAGACAACTGACAATCAAACTTCTCTGTATAACCGCAAACATCGGACCTGAATATCAATAACAAGGCACCTTGACAGAGTGGTTATTGTGTCAGCCTGCTAAGCTGATCCCTTCGGGGGCGTGCGTTCGAATCGCACAGGTGTCGTAGATTTCCTTTTTGGATTTTTCTGGTATTGGAACTGGTTGCAACTCTTAGCTTTTTATTTCTAATTTGCCGCATAATTCATGCCAATTTCATATTTTGCATGCAAGTAAGAATCGAATATGCTATTTGGTTAATCAGACCAGAGTCGACGTTTTGGAGTGCAAATGACTGTCTGTAGAACTAGCCGTTCCAACTCGGGCTGGAGAAGGCGGCGGATTGTTTCTATTGTATACGAGACTGTTAAGAGTGAGACGTAGGTAATAGCTGAGCGTCGTTGCGAGGTATCGCATCGGAAGCGTTCGGGGAGACTTATAGTCGGTCCCATGATCGATTTGTTAGGACATGCATCTGACGGCCTACTAAACTTTCGCTACATTTTATCTGAATAGTTAGAATGAAAGGTATCAATCAGGAATAAAAAGCTTCTAGAATGAAGTCCTCGACTGAAGTCAGAAGTCTTGGCACCACGCACGTAATCCTACCTACCTACATACCTCCTCACACATACATATACATACAGGCGCCGGCAGTACCAAAGTAGATCACCATCGCCACCTGGCAACAAACACGCGGCGGCGCGTGGGTAATGTAGCGTTCGATGAAACCACTTCTACTTTAAATCAACTACCTACCATCTACGCCTAACCGACGCGGCAAGGCATACATAAATACCTAGACTTCCTTATTTAATATCAAATACAAGGGGCATTTCTCACACATAGAAGTAGCGCCGGGAGAATGACCGTCGGAGCCGCGGGTAAAAAAAGGCCTAATTGGCGAAAGCCCGTAAACGCAACGAAAAAGGCCCGGAACCAAGATTTCTGATAGGTCGGGGAATGGGAACAGGAAAATTGACAAGAAAAAAAAAAAAAAAAAAAAAATCCAACCCAACCTCCCTTCTCCCTTTTTCCTCATATCTATTAAATAAAAAAAATCCAAATCTCAAAAAAAAAGAAAATATCGAAATCGTTTCCCTAATTTTTCAAAAAAGGGAAACGAATGATTTCGAAACACAACAACAACAACATCATCACCAGCCAGTGGGGAAAACCCAGCACATAGTACAATAGATTTCATTGTATCAACGGAGCAACAACGCGAAGTCCGCAGCAAATCTTCCCTGCGGAAATCTGGTCTGTCTCTCTGTCTGTCTGTCTGTCTCTCTCTTTATCTGTCCTACTACTGTGACAAATCCATCCATCCATCCGTCTGTTCCTGCGTTCAATGCGAGGACACCCCGAGCCAAGCCGACAACAGGTTCAGCTGGCTAAGAGAGGGGAGGGGGGTATGGGGTATGGTAATTCCAGATTTCTTCTCTTGAAAAATCCGAACGACCTGATACAAGCAACAGCACACAAAAGGGTGACCTCTATTATCAAAGAAGAAATTCCTTGAGCTCCTTGGGTGAAAATTTCACACATACGCACATCTATTTTTCCCTTTCCTTCCCATATGGCATGCTCCGTGGAGAGTCGCCTACACGGAAGTTGTAGGCTGGAGCCTTTCGTACGGTGGGTATGGTTAACCGCTTAAGTGAGCGTGTAACCACCGTCGACACGGAGATCGGCGCCGGTCACGTACTGGGCGGCGTCGGAGAGTAGGAAGGCGACGGGACCCATCAGGTCATCGGGTTGACCCATCTTACCCTGGGGAATGAGCGATGTCCACTGTCTCTTGAGATCCGGCTTCTCGTCGAGGATCTTCTCGGTTCTGTGCATGGATTGTCAGCTATTATCCCTCTTGGCCTCCAGGTAGGTATCTAGGAGGTAAGCAATGCAAGAGGATACTTACAGAGCCGTTAGCATGTAACCGGGTGAGATGCAGTTGACACGGATACCAGCATGCGCCCACTCGACGGCGAGAGAGGCAGCCATGTGTCGGACTGCAGCCTTGGCGATGTTGTAAGGACTACGGAACGTGTTAGCATTGGCCGTTGGGAATTGGCTGCGCGATTTTCTGGCAACCGATCGAATTGAAGGATCGACCTACGCTTGGGGCTGGGGTACGTTGACAATGGCACCCGACATGCTACCGATGAAGACCATGCTACCTTGGGCTTGGCGGTCCATCAAGTGCTTAGCGACGGTGATGGCGAATAGGTATGTGCCGTCAACATTGACGCCCCATAGCTTACGCATGCGATCAATGGGGTAGTCGACAGCATTGTAGTTCTCGGTGAAGCCGGCACTGGTAACGAGGTGGTCGATCTTGCCGTGCGCCTTAACGATCTCGTCAATGCAGCCTTGGACTGAGTCTGCGTCCGAAACATCGGCGTAGTGGGCAGTGACCTTGGGCACTCGGTGAGCGCCGGGGTTCTCCTTGCGGAATACCTCGACTAGCTCAATGGCTTGGCGTTCGGCTTCTTCTTCTGTTCGTTGGGGTGAAATATTAGCATCTGTCTTGATCTACCATGGTGTATCCCGGATTTGCGACGCTTTGTTGGCAAATTGGTGGATTCAAGAGTGGAATGGGACAGCGAAAAAGTGGGAATGGAAGAGTAGAGGTCGGTGAGGCTTGCCAAGAGCTCACGAGAAAAAAGCCACGAGAGGAAAGAAAAATAAAAATAAAAAAGGTCTGCGGATGGGATATGGAATGGGAAAAGCTGGATTGGAAGAGCAGGGTGATGACTTACTGTTCATGTCAACAATTGCCAAATTGGCACCGCTAATAACCATGCCTTGGCCCATGACGAGTCCGAGACCACGAGCACCACCAGTAACCACACCGACCTTGCCCTCGAGCGAGAAAGAGGCGAGAGTTCGCTTCATGTGGAAACCACCACGACCTTGGACGGGGGTGGAGGAAGGTAGAGCATCTTCTTCGGGGTACTCAACGGTAATACTATCGTCTGTACGGGCAAAGGAACCGGGCGGGGGAGATTGATGCCTCTTGTCCTTGTTGTCGGCATTGTTGAGAGGATTGTTGTTGTTGTGCAGGTACGCAGCACCGGCGGGAATGGTTGATCGAGGAGCAGCAGCTCGGACAGATCCTGCAGCTTGACCGGCAGCTCGAGCAGACGCGCGTAATAGGTTTCGGGACAACATGTTGTGTGACGACGACGACGATGATGGGTGCAGATGTGCACTTTAGGGTCGAGGGAGGAAGTGAGGAAGAAAAGAAGAATGCGACAAGAGGGATTAAATTGTCGACGGAAAAAATATATTTGTCGATTCAGGTAAGGTAAGGTAAGGTAAGGTAAGGTAGGTTAGGGGTTTTATAGGATGGGGTGGGGGGGATTATAGGAATTATATGGATATTTAGTCCGAGTAGAGTAAAATGTAGGTGAAGTGTACGAGCGGTGAAAAGTTGAATTGAGTTGTTGCGTTGTGTTAAAAACTCAGTCGAGCTTCAGTTTGCAACTGAATGGTGAATGGAGAATAATGGATTGGACAATGGCAAGAAAATGACGTATGCGCCTTGTCTATCGTGGGAGATGGAGCTCTATACCGCTTTTAGATGTGGGAAAAAAGTGACTCTGGTAACAAGTCAATTGGGGCGGAATGACTCTTGGTTTTTGTAGTAAAAAAAATTGGTCGATGATGGAGCAAGTTGAGGGAGAAAAGAAGAAGCGGAAAAAGGTTCACACTGGCAGACTGGTAGGCGAGTATTGGGAAACACGAGGGAAAAACTAAACCACCGCCGAGAAAGTGGTCAGGGGACCAAAAAAACTCACGATCTTCTAGGGACGTGGCTCTCTCTTTCTTACTCTCACTCAACTAACAATTATTACCTACTCTGTCAGTCCTAATATTTTTTATTTATTTTATTTTATTACTATTATTTTCTTTGGTGAGCCACTGATGATCCATTCTGCTTTAGCACCTGCAGCAACCCAGCAAGCAAGCCCAGCTCAGCAGCACACTCATAGCGTAGCACTCCTCTGTTCTGGGTCCAAGCTCCTTACCGGTAGTGGAGCACCCCTCTCCCCCGGCACCCCGTCTCTTTCCCCTACTTTTTAGCAGCTACTTGTCCCATACGGGTAACAATTCGTAGGGGGCTGTAGGGAATGCGTCGGTAATGGGGGGAGGCTAAGGGAGGGTTGGAGGGGTAGTACGATTAAGCTTAGGTGACTTTTGGGTGGTTTTTAGTGGAGACTAGCTTCTGTAAGGCCCATTCTAGATTGTTTTTAAGGAATGGCTAGAACCTGGTCTATCCTACGATGCACACCTCTCACGGAGGCTCTACAACATGTTGTAGGTATATTTGGATATCTACCTACATATCTGGTGACATCCAGTATGGTCGAGTATCTGCCCATTTTGATTCCTATCACCCATCACGCAGGTTATATGCATCATGTGTACTGAACCATCTGTACTATTGATTTTACTAATGCCACCACATCTATGTATGTACCTCTGGATGTACACCGAAACACAAAGTGCGAAGAAAAGAAAGAGCCACTGCCAAATCATCGGAAGCAGCCAATGTAGAGCCTCCAAGCATGACATGTGGGAGAAAGCTCTCCCGAGTGCTTAAGCTTCCCTGTTCAAGGCACCACTTTCTACCAGGATTTTTTGGTCGTCTGCGTGGAAGCTGGAAGCTGCAGAAAACAGCCAAGGAAGAAAAACGTCAACCTTCATCCGCAGCCCCCGCAAATACGTACATAATAATAAAATAAGCATTTCAATCGACAACTAATTAGAGCGAATTATCTATTTGAAGCAGCAGATATCCATTATTATTATTGACATCACATATTATTACACCATAAGTCTCCATTGCGGCATCCACAACTCGTGCAGATAGAGAGCTACTGTAAAGCTAACCTAGGTCAACTAAATTAGCGTCCAAGTCCCTCCCCCCCGGAAAATGGGGAACAAACTGGAACCTCGCTTGGCTTAACGCTGACGCCGCAAGTACACGTAGCGCAGGCTTGGGAAATCTAACATATCGTACCTCAGCTAAACTCGATATAGGTTACCTAGTGTAGTAGCTACATAATATCGATGCGCGGAAGAGAAAGAAAATGAGAGACGAAATGTAGGTGACAGCCGACC